AAAAAAAATTTTTTCTCCGAATTATTCGTAATATATATAAATCGACTCAGTTTTTAATGCTGATGCCGAATCTGATATTAGTTTTGAACCAAATCGTAGCTTTCTAACAAAACATCCCCCGAAAAAGGTCTCAAAATGCAGAAAAACTACATGAAGAAAGCAAATAGTCTAGATATGTCTCAGATGATAAAAAACAAAATGAATATACATTTTCACTTTTTGAAGTACACATAACACTCGGATTTAAATCCGATGTTTTCGCATTTATTTCTTCATTGAACAGCTTGGAGAGCCAAACAAGTTTTTGTAGAAAACTGTGACAATGTTAGGTAAAATGCCTAACGAAAAGCTATTAAAGCAAGTAGAATCAATGAAACATTCTTAATGATATATATATATATATGTCAAATGAATGAAGTGAGATAAACGCTTTTCAATTTTATTGTCTCGTTATTTTAACTTCTGTCAATAGCTCGATCTACTATTGAATTATTCGAAAACTTGCCGTGGTTTTAGCCATTCTTCGAATCGACATGTATGTTTTTTTCAAAATAATGAATTTTCAAGAATATATATTATTCTCGAACTAGAGCTAGTCATCGTGGCGGCAGCTTCATTTTGAATGGTATTACAAAACTGTGTGATTTTGCACAGTATTACAGTGGCTACAAACATAACACTATTAGTTCAGTGCGGTCACAGCAGTAAAATTCAAGATATTTCCCTGAGTACCATTGTAGCACAAGGACTTTCGTTTTCTATTGTGGCAGCGGCAGACTTTCAAACAACTCACTTCCAAATTTGTAATTTTCCAGTCGTATATGAATCGTGTTCTGTTACACTAATATCAAAATTCCTTATATGAAAAATTTTTCGTACTTTTTTGAATAAATTTTCAAAGAAATATTGTTTCATCCTCGTATTCGTGGTTTTGTTTTAGATAAATATTAAAAACAATAAAAATGCTCTGTAGAATTTTTCATCGTTATGCTTCAACAGCAACGGTTAATCGCTCGAAAACTTTTACATTTCCAAAACGAATAAATCGTTCCCCAACAGCAATACTCGAATCATTAAATACATGTGTTCAAACTGATGGTGGAAATCCAGCTTATCTATTTATGGATGATCCATTTTTAATTCCAACATCAGCACATGAAAAACGACAATTATCATTATCAAAAGCTTCAGGTAAAAAAGCAGCTCGATGGATTATGGATCGATATTCTGATGCATTTTTTCATGATGTTGCCGTTCCATCAATACCATCATATTTTCCAAATTATACATTTGATGAAAAAGAATTTATTGAACCAGATGAAACAACTTTATATAAATTAATGAATTGGAATAAAATTACAAAAGCATATGAAATTTATAAAAAATGTTTAGATCAAAAAGTTAATATATCTGATGCATGCAAATATGCTTTATTTGATTTATTATGTATTTACAATAGTGATAATCCTATGGAGATTTTACCACCTGAAGAAGATTGGTATAGAAGAGAATTAAATGAAACAAATCAATCAGGTAGAATATATTTAACAAAAAAATAAACATTGAATCAATTCTCAGATAGAAATATGAAAGAATAAAATCAAAATTGTTATAGATGACAAAAAAAAATCCTATACATAGGGATATTTGTTTGATGTGCCTATGCACATAATATTATCTAAAGATTTTTTAAGGTAATTATTTTAATATTAAAAGCGATTGATTAGTTGATCAAAGACAGGGATGGGCGAGTCAAGCCATTTTTCGAGTCGAGTCGAGTCCGAGTCATTTCGAAATGGTTTCGAGTCGAGTCAAATCGAGTTACCGAGACTTCCGAGTCGAGTCGAGTCGAGTCAAGCTAATTTTTTTATTTTTTTTCTTTGG